AGAAGAAAGTGACAAACAAAGGAATGTGACACAGGGGGGTGACAGGTGGACAAGTGACACTGGGGAGAAGACAAATGCCACCAAGTGCCACCCACACTGAGTGACACAATGGGGGGGAGGGGGGAGGGCAGAGGAGCCCCGGGGGGGTGTGGCAGCTGTCCCCAAGTGCCACCAGTTGTCCCCAGGTGTCCCCACCTGTGGCCTCGTTGTAGTAGACGCTGATGCGGTCCAGCTGCAGGTCGCTGTCCCCATGGTAGGTGCCCGTGGGGTCGATGCCGTGCTCGTCACTGATCACCTCCCAGAACTGTGGGGACAAGGGGACAGCTTGGGGACGGCTCAGGGACAGCCCAGGAGCAGGTGTGGGGCAAAAAACGTGAATTTGGGGAAAAAACCTCAGGGATTATGGGAGGGAAAATGGGGATTTTAGAGAGGAAAAGGGGGGCTTGGGGGCGTGGTCAGGGGTTAAAAGGGGTGGGGCTGGTGGAGGAGTGAGATCAGCTGGGCCACGCCCACTTTGTGACAAATGGAACCCAAGTTAGGGGAAAAATAAGGATTTGGAGAAGAAAAAAATTGTGATTTTTAGGGGGAGAAATGCGGATATTAGGGGAGAAAATGGGGGTTTGGGGGTGTGGTCAGGGTTAAAAGGGGCAGGAGATAAAGAGGGGTATGGTCAGGTGGGCCCGGCCCACCCAGACTCAATTCTGGGGAAAAAATTAGAATTTTGATTAAAAAAAACAAAACAAAACAAAAAAAATCGGAATTTTAAGGTGAGAAATGGGAGTTGAGGGCTAAAAGTGGTTGAGTTTAAGGAGGGGCGAAGGCAGCTGGGCCACACCCACTTTGCTACTCCGGGGACCCCATTTTGGGGGAGAAAATGGGGATTTGGAAGTAAAAAAAATCAGGAATTTTAAAAAAGGAAATTTGGGTTTTAAGATACGAAATAGCAGTTGAGAGGTATCAAAAAATCTGGATTTTAAGGAAAAGAAATTGGGATTTAAAGGAAAATTGATGGCATAGTCTGGGATAGAGGAGCAGAGCTGTGGAGGAGAGGGACTACGCCCACTTTGCTACACCCAGGATTTATTTTGGGTGCAAAAAAGGGGATGTTGGGATCTTATAGAAAGAATGGGATATAAATGCAGCATCACCCACTGCCCCACGGCAGTGTTTTTGGGGAAAAAATGAAAGATTTAGGAACTTAAAGGAATTTGGGGTGTAGCCAAGTGACAGGCAGGATCCACAAGACCTCCCCCACAGCCAGGACCTTTTTCTGGGGTGAAAAATGGGGATTTTGGGGGCTTTTAAAAGAAATTTAGGGTGTGCTCAGGTACTAGAAGGGTGTGGCTACAACACACAGTTGCCACGACAGCTGCCACGACCGTTTTTGAGGGTAAAAAGGCAGTTTTAAAGATTTTTTTGTGGTTTGGAGGCGCGGGGAAGGGGAGCGGGCGGGCTCTGTGAGGGAGGGGCGTGGCCAGGGCAGCGCGGTCCCGCTCCCCAAAAGGGCGGGAACGGGGAAAATGGCGGCAAGCGTTCAAATTCAAACCAACCCCTCCAAAATCGGCTCCCTGCACCCCAAATCGGCTTTCTCGTCACCCAAAATCAGGATTTTTACACCCAAATTCGGCTCTGGGGGCTCCAAGATTTGTATTTGAAGTTGAGATTCCACCAATGTGGGGGTTTGGGGTTAAAATGGGCCGGGGGGGCGATGCAGCGTGAGGGGAAAATGAAGTGAAAAAAGGTGATTTTGGGGTTAAAAATGAGAAATGAAGAAAAAAATGGGGATTTGGGGGCTTTGGAGAACAGAATGGCATTACAATATTTATTTGGGGCAAAAGCCTTTAATTTTGATATTGTTAATTCAAAAAAACAGGTATAAAATGGTGATTTCGGATAAAAATGGTGGTTTGGTGATCATGAGGGAAAAATGTATTTAAAACCCTACAATTTTGGGTAATAGAAGAAAAAAGGGCTTACAAATAATGTTGGAAGTGAGAGTGAAACGAGGATTAAACCCCAGCAACGTAAGGTAAAAAAAACAGGCTTAAAAAAGCTGATTTTGGAGATGAAGAAAGGAAGTGGTTAAAATCTGGCGTTTTTAGGGGGTTGTGAGAAAAAATGGGTTAAAAAATAGGGATTTTGAGGGTGATGGGACAAATAGGTTAAAAAAGGGCAGTTTAGGGGAATGTAGGAAAGAAATACCTGCAAAAAAAAGCTCATTTTGGATAAAAATGGAGATTTTGGGCAAATGACAAAGAAAATGAGTTTAAAACGTTCAAATTCGAATAAACAGCATTTCAGAGTAATAAACCCTGCATTTTGGGGCCCTGGGAAACAGTGGGTTAAAAAATATGTTTTTTGAGAGAAAATGTGAGTTTGGTGCAGAATTACATGTTTAGTGACAGGAACATGGGGAGAAAAGCATATCTAAAGGCAAAAAATGTGAATTTTGGGGTAAAAAAAAGTGGATTTGGGGCTAAAACTCAATTTTTGAAAGTAAATTTGACCTGGTAAATACCAGTATTTTCTGTACAGTAAAAACCCTTTTTTGGGACTCAAAATCGCAATTTGGGTTCAAAACCTCTTTCCCAAAGCTAAAAAAAAAAAAAATCGCTTTTTAGTGTTAAAAACTCCAGTTTGAAACGTTTTGGAGAACAAAGATTTCAGTGTGGGGCAGGAAATGGAAATGTTCATTTCGGGGGCAGGAAATGCGGTCTGGAGACACAAAGAGAGGGGGTTGGGGCTGAAAAGGGCGATTTTGCAACAAAAAGTAACATTTAAAAAAGAAAAAAACTAAGAACTATTGGGTTAAAGGAGACCGTTTTCTGGGTGAAGTGGATATTCAAAGGGAAAAAGGGATTTTTGAAGCAGTAAAAATTACATTAGGGTCTGAAGAATTGCAAATTCCGAGGCCCAAAACAACGCTTTTTTGGGCAAAAATCACCAGCTTGTGCAAAAAAAAAGAGAAAAATTTAAACAAACCCCGTTAGTTTTGGAGAAAAAGCGGCGATTTTGAGGCTAGAAAGAAGCGGATTTGGAAGCACAAAGCTGCGATTCTTCCCCCGACCCTCCATTTTGGGGCTGGAAACCTCCATTTTGGGGCTCGGAGCTCCCTCCGAGCTGCAGAAAATCCCGATTTTAACCCTAATTTCTACTTCTGGAAAATAAATCCAGTCCTTTTTCTCCTCCAAACTCCACGTTTTGGGGATAGACCCAAGATTTTGGACAGAAATGCTGTTTTGCAAAACAAAGATGCTGAGCTGGAGCTCCGAATCTCCATCTTGGGGCTGGGAAAAAAAAATGTTTTGGGGCCAAAAAGCTGCGTTTTAGCAGCAAAATAACCTTTCATTAATGAAAAAGATCCCTTAAATCCAAAACATTAACATTTTGAGAACTAAAATATACTTTTTTGAAAATTAAGTCATCCATATTTAGACGTAAGAAGGACATTTCAGTTAAAAAAGCTGATTCAAAGTAAAAAACCCATCAATTTTGGAGATTAATATTGCAATCTAAAGACCTTAAATTTACATTTAAGGAATAAAAAAAACCTGCTTTTGTCATAAAATCCCGCAGTCTGAAAGCTTAAAAATCCTGATTTTGCGGATATAACAGTCCCATTTCGGAAAAAAATTAGTAACACACCTCTTATTTAGGGAATAAAATCTTTATTGTGGATATTAAGCCGCTTTTTTGGGGGGGGGGGGGGGGAAATCCTCCCATTTTCGGGTCTGACCCCTCCGGGCGTCACGCCCCGTTTGGGGGTAAAAAAATCTTAATTTTTGTGGCACAAAATCCACATTTTTGAGGTTAAATTACACGGTTTTGCAGTGAAATAGCCGATTTTAGGGGCGAAAATACCTAGTTATGGGGTGAAAACAACCGATTTCAGACTGAAAAAGCAGCATTTAATGTATGGTAATATAAAAACGAAACAAATCATGTTTTAAATTTAATTATAAATATATTATTGTAAAAAAACTCATTTCGAGGTTAAATCCTTTAATTTCGGGGCTCCTCGCCGCCATTTTGGCGCCTTCCCCGCCCATCCTCAGCCAGACCCCCCTGCCCAGATTACGGGCAAAAAGCGCCATTCGCGGCCAAATCTTTGAAAGTCATTTAAACTAAGATAAAATAGTAATGTTTTCTTTAAACACCCCCCAAAAAGGCGATTTTGGAGGCGAATTCGCCGCGGTTCGGAGCCGCCGCCCTTAGCCGCCATTTTGCGGCCGCGTGCGGGGAGGGGGGGGGGGGAGGGCGTTCAGCCCACCGAAAATCCTCATTTAGCGACAGAACCTCCCGATTTTAACCCCAAACCCGCCCCATTCAGCAAATCCCCCTTCCCTCCCAGCCGCTTCTGTGGGGGTAAAACGCCGATTTTGGGCTAAAATCGCCCTGGTTTGGGTCACCCTTTGTCTTGGCGCGCGGGGGATGGGGGGGCTCTTAAAGGGGCAACGCCGCCGCGGCGGGGGATGAAGGCGGGGCCCGCCGCGCTCACCTTGGCGCCGATCTGGTTGCCGCATTGGCCCGCCTGGATGTGGACGATCTCCCTCATGGCGGCGGTGGAGTCTGGCGGGGGGGCTCGGGCCCACCCGGACGGCGCGGAGGCGCTCGGAAAACTGAATAAAAAAACGTAAAGAGGCGGCGCGGCCCCTTTAAGCGCGGAGTGAAGGCCCGAGCGCGACGGCGGTGAAAATGGCGGCAGCGGCGGCCCCGCGCGCGCTCATATAGGACAAAGTCGGGGCGCCCATTGGTCGGCACCGCCCGCTTTCCATCCATCTATTGGATAATTATGTTGTCAATCCAGCTTTCTGCGCTTCAATTGGTCTAAACTTCTCTTAAGCTCCTCCCACGGAGCTCCTGCGCTCTCAGAGGACCACCCCGCCCCATCCCTGTGATCTAGTGATGATCGACACGCACGACAGCCAATGGAAACTGCGGATAGGCGTTGGCGCGCGGAGAGAGCGGCCAATGGGAGCGCGGGGGGCGGGGCCCGGCGGTGAAGGCGCGGGAGGGGTGAGCGGGGGGGGGAGGGAAGCCGGGGCCGCTTTTGGGGTCCTTGAGGGAATTTTGGGGGAGTTTGGAGGTGATTTGGGGTCCGGAGTGGTTCTGGAATATCCTGGCGGGATTCGGAGGTGGTAGCGGGCATTGGAGCGGTCCTTGGTGAGGACTGAGGGCCTCGGGGGCAGTTTTGGGGAGTCCCTGAGGGAGACTGGGGGGGGTCTCTGACGGGGATTTGAGGTTTCTGAGGAAAGTTTGGGGTCTCCGAGGGAAGTTTGTGGGCTTGGCTTGGCAATTTGGGGTTCCGGAGAGAAATTTTGGGGTTTCTGAGGGGAGTTGAGACTTGATGATGGAATTTGGGGATCCCTGAGGAAGGTTGGATGTGTCTGAGGGAGGTTTGGGGTCCATGAGGGGAGCTGGGGCTTCCGTGAGGGAATTCAGGGTTCCTGAGGGAACTTTGGGCTCTCTGAGGGGGTTGAAGGGTCCTGAGCGGAGTTTGGGGCGCCCCTGATGTGAGTTGGGGTTTCTGTGAGGGAATTTGGGGTTCCCGAGAGACGTTTGGGTTTCCTAAAGGAAATCTGGGTCCGTGATAGGGGTTGGTGGTTCTGTGAGAGAATCTGGGGTTCCTGAGGCGTGTTGGGGGTTCCATGAGAGAAGCTGGGCATTTGATGAGGGAATTTGGGCTCCCTGAGGTGTGTTGGGGATTCTGTAATGGAATCTAGGCTTGGAGGTCCCTGGGGGGATTTTGGGTCATTTGGGTGCAGCTTGGGGGGTCCCTGGGACATTTTGGGGGTCCCTGGGTTTGTTTTGAGTCGTTTTGGGGCAGTTTGGGAGGTCCTGGGCAGGGGTTTGGGGGCTTCTGGGGTGGTTTGGGTCCTTTGGGGTCAGCTTGGGGGTCACTGGGTGATTTTGGGGGGTTCCTTGGAGAATCTGGGGGTGTTTGGAATGGTCTTGGGGCAGTTTAGGGGGATTTTGGGGGGGAGTGGGAGTTCTGGGGGGGTCCCTGGAACAGTTTGGGGTTTTGGGGGCATTTTGGGGGGTCCGGGGGGGTGGGGTTGGGGGTCCTTGGGGCAATTTGGGGGTGCCTGTGGGGTTTTTTGGGGTATTTGGGGCATTTTTGGAGGGTTTTGGGGCAGTTTGTGTAGTTCTGAAAGGGACTTTGGGGCTTTTTGGGTTATTTTTGGGATGCTTGGGGGATTTTGGAGGTTCCAAACTCATGACCCTCCCCCCCAATCCCCCTTTGCAGTGCCCTGGAGGATCCAGCTGTGCCCCCAGATGTTGAGGGCCCCCAAAAACACCTTCCCTGCTCCCGAAATGCCCCAGATGTGATCGGCGAGGGGCCAGATCCAGATGCTGGGGACCTGAAAATGCCCAAAGTGGCCCAAAACACCTCAGAGGCTCCAGATGTGGCCGCAGAAACCCCAAATCCAGATGTGCTATGGGCCAGAAATGGGCACCGGACACTGCAGGTGGACAGTGACACAGATGTGGAGGAGGAGGAGCCAAACCCAGATGTTGGGCCACAAAAATGGCTTAAAATTACCCAAAATGTGCCTGAAACTCCAGATGTGAGGCTAAAAACCCCAAATCCAGATGTTCCATGGCTTAAAAGTGGGCGTGGCACCCTGCTGGTGGAGAGCGACACAGATGTGGAGCAGGAGGAGGCTGATCCAGAAGTGGAGCCCTCAGAACGGCTGAAAATTACCCAGAACGTCCCAGAAACTCCAGATGTTGCAGGAAAGACCCCAAATCCAGAAGTTTCAGGCCCAAAAATATGTCACAGCATGGAGCTGGTGGACAGTGACACAGATGTGGACGAAGATCCAGATGTGCAGCCCCAGAAAAGGCTTAAAGTGACCCAAAACATGCCTGGAATTCCAGATGTGGAGGTGGAAACCCCAAGTCCAGCTGTGAGGGCACCCAAAATTGGACACTGGATAATCCTGATGGACAGCTACACAGATCTGGAGGGAGAGGAGGAGAATCCAGATGTGCAGCCCCAAAAACAACTCAGAATGACCCAAAATGTGTCCGAAACTGTGGCAGCAAAACTCCTGAATCCAGATGTTTCGGGCCCAAAACTCTGTTCTCAGATGCTGCTGGTGGACAGTGATACAGATGTGGAAGATGAAGTGAATCCAGATGTGCAGCCCCCTAAAAGGCTCAAAGGGACCCAAAACGTGCACAGAATTCCAGATGTGGAGGTGGCGACCCCAAATCCAGCTGTGGAAAGCCCCAAAATTGGCCATCAGACACTGGTGGAGGACAGCGACACAGATGTGGAGGATGATCCAGATGTGCAGCCCCCAAAAAGGCTCAGAAGGGCTCAGCATTTGCCCAAAGCTCCAGTTGTGCGATGGGGGACACAAAATCCAGATGTTTCAGGCCCCACAATCAGGAGTCAGATGCTGCTGGTGGACAGCGACACAGATGTGGAGGAGGATCCAGATGTGCAGCCCCTGAAACAGCTCAGAGTGGCCCAAAATGTCCCCGAAACTCCAGATGTGGCTGCGAAGCCCCCAAATCCAGATGTTTCAGGCCCTGAAATCAGGTGCCAGGCATTCCTGGTGGACAGTGACACAGATATGGAGGAGGAGGTGAGTCCAGATGTTGAGACCCTAAAAAAGCTTGGAATGACCCAAAATGTGCCTGAAAGTCCAGATGTGGTGGCACAGACCCCAAGCCCAGATGTTGGAATAACCCCAAATGGGTGTCAGGCACTGCTGGTGGACAGTGACACAGATGTGGAGGAGGATGAGGTGAATCCAGATGTTTGTCATTCAAAAAGATGGAAAATTCCTCAAAATGTGCCCCAAACTCCAGATGTGCCCCCACAGCCCCCAAATCCAGCTGTGAAGAGGTCACAGAGGGGTCATGGGGCACTGCTGGATGACAGCGACACAGATGTGGAAGAGGAGGCAAATCCAGATGTTGGATCCTTAAAAATATTGAAACCAGTCCCAAACGTGCCTGAAACTCCAGATGTGAGGCTGAAAACGCCAAATCCAGATGTTTCAGGCACAAAAATTGGGTGTGGGACGCTGCTGGTGGGCAGCAAGACAGATGTGGAGGAGGAGGAGACAGGTCCAGATGTTTGGCCCTCAAAAAGACTGAAAATGACCCCAAATGTGCCTGAAAGTCCAGATGTGCCCACACTGGCCTCAAGTCCAGCTGTTGGAGGCTCTGAATCCAGATGTGGAGCCTTGGTGGGGGAGAGTGACCCAGATGTGGGGGAGGATGAAGCTGAACCAGATGTTCAGCCCTCAAAAAGACAGAAGATTACCCAAAATGTGCCTGGAACTCCAGATGTTGGGCTGAAACCCCCAAATCCAGATGTTGGGAGGCTCCAAGGGACCCAAACTGTGGCCGAGACGCCAGATGCGGAGGGAGAGGAGGAAGGGTGGGATCCAGATGTGGCCACCCAGCTGTTCCTGCCCCCAAATCCAGATGTGGGGGAGGCCGAGGCGGACGCAGATGTTGGGAGCCCAGAACAACTCAAAATGACCCAGAAGCCACCAGAAATTCCAGATGTGGAGGAGGAAACCCCAGATCCAGATGAGGAGGAAGAACAGGAATCAGATCCAGATGTGGCCACCCAGCTGTTCCTGCCTTCTCCAGATGTTGGGAGCCCAGATAGCGCCAAAATGGCCCCGAAGGACCCCAGAATTCCAGATGTGGAGGAGAAAGAGGAGTCAGATCCAGATGTGGCCACCCAGCTGTTCCTGCCTTCTCCAGATGCTGGGAGCCCAAAAGGCCCCAAAACTACCCCAAAGGACCCCAAAATTCCAGAGGTAGAGGGGCTGCCCTCTCTGGATCCAGATGTGGCCACACAGCTGTTCCTGCCCCCACATCCAGGTGTGGAGGACGGCCTAAATCCAGATGTTCTGGGTCCAAAGCAATCCAAAATGGCCTCAAATGACCCCAAAATTCCCATCGTGAGGACAGAGACCCCAGATCCAGATGTGGAGGGGGAGGAGGACTTGGATGTGGCCACCCAGCTGTTCCTGCCCCCTGATCCCGATGTGGAGGGGGAAGGACCCTCAGAACCAGGTATTGGGTCCCCAAACCCACCCAAAAGTCCCCTAAACCTGCCTGAAATTCCAGATGTGAACACAGAGAGCCCAAATCCAGATGTGGGGGAGTCACTGAGGGGCCACAGGACATTGCTGGGGGATGCTGATCCAGATGTGGAGGAGGCAGGCCCAAATCCAGATGTGGCAGCCTCAAAAAGACCCCAAACAGCCCCAGAAGTCCCTGAAATTCCAGATGTGGAGGTGGACACCCCAAGTCCAGATGTGGAAGGGCCGGGGAGCCCTGGCCTGAATCCAGATGTGGCCACCCAGCTGTTCCTGCCCCCTGCCCCAGATGTGGAACCCCTGGAAAGCCCCGAAAGGGCCCCGCACGAGCCCCAGGTTCCAGATGTGGAGGAGGCGGCCCCAAATCCAGATGTGGAGGGTCCCCCAAGCCCCGCCCAGGAGGGAGCAGAAGCTCTGCCCACCCCGCAGGTGAATTTGGGGGGTCCCGGGGGATTCTGGGGGTCTCTGGTCCATTTGGGAGCCCCCCGGGGATTCAGGGAGGGCTCCAGGTGGATTTTTTGGGGTTCCCTGTGAATTTGGGGGGGTCCCAGGTGGGATTTTGGGGTTCCCAGTGGATTTTGGGAGACCCAGGGTGGTTTGGGGGGGTCTCAGGTGAATTTTTGGGGGTCCTGGGTGATTTTTGGGGGGGTCCCAGGTGGATTTTGGAGGTTCCTGGGAGGGTTTTGGGGATTCCCAATGGAATTTGGGGTGAATTTGGAAGATTTGTGGGGTTCCCATTGGATTTTGGGGTCCCCACCACAGCCCCTCCCTCCAGGTGCGGCGCAGTCAGCGATTGGCCCTGAGGGGAGGGGGTGGATCCTCACGTGGCCCCGCCCCCACCCAGAACGGGCATGATCAAGGCTCCAAGCCACGCCCCTCACACAAGCCACGCCCCCAGAGGGGGCAGGACCAATCAGCAGCAGTGCTTGAAGAGGCCACACCCTCAGTGACCATAAAAGGAAATGGGCGGGGCTCAGTGGCAGCCCCACCCCCAGAGGAGGAGGAGCCAACAGAGGGTGCCAAGCGCAGGCTCCGCCCCCGGGCAGCACCAGGCTCCGCCCAGATCCGGGTAAGGACCAGTAGGGACCAATAGGAACCAGTACAAACCAGTGCAGACCAGTAGGGACCAGTACAGACCGGTATACACCCGTGCAGACCCGTGCAGACCCGTACAGACCAGTACCCCCAGTGACTCTAAATTGACCCCAGTACAGACCAGTGACTCCACCCAGTGCTCCCAGTATAGACCAGTATGGACCAGTATAGAGCACTATGGACCAGTATAGACCAGTAAGGGTCAATACGGACCAGTACAGACCAATATGGACCAGTACAGGCTGGTACACACCAGTGCAGACTGGTACAGACCAGTACAGACCAGTACCCCCCCGGTGACTCCTAAGTGACCCCAGTACGGACCAGTGACCCCCCCCAGTGCTCCCAGTATAGACCAGTATGGACCAGTGCAGGCCAGATTAGAGCACTATGGACCAGTATAGACCAGTACAGACCAATGTGGAACTATAGTGACCAGTATAGAGCAGTGACCCCCCAGGGACGCCCCAGTGACCTCCCAGTACGGACCAGTACAAACCAGAACCCCCAGTGCTCCCAGTACAGACCGGTGCCCCCATCCCCCTCCCAGCTGCTGCTCTGGGGCTGGTGGCACCTGGGCATGTCCCCAAAGTGTCCCCAAGGGGTCTATGAGTCCCTCAGGATGTCCCCAAGCTGTCCCCAATGTGTCCCAGTGTCCCCAGTTGCTGTTCCTGGGGATGGTGGCACCTGGGCATGTCCCCAAAGTGTCCCCAAGGTGTCCCCAAGTCCCCCAGGGATGTCCCTGCTGTGTCCCCAAACCTGTCCCAAACCCACCCCAGTGTCCCCAACTCCTCAGGGATGTCCCCACAGTGTCCCTGACTCTCTTAGGGATGTCCCCAATGTGTCCTCAATGTGTCCCCAACCTGTCCCAGTGTCCCCCAGATGTCCCCACCCGCCAGTGATGTCCCCACTGTCCCCAGGTGCTGTTCAGAAGCCTGGTGGCACTCATGATGTCCCCAGTGATGTCCCCAATGATGTCCCCAGGTGCTGTTCCCAGGCCTGGTGGCACTCAGGGATGTCCCCAGTGATGTCCCCACCGTCCCCAGGTGCTGTTCCCAGGCCTGGTGGCACTCAGGGATGTCCCCACTGATGTCCCCACTGATATCCCCACTGTCCCCAGGTGCTGTTCACAGGCCTAGTGGCACTCAGGGATGTCCCCACTGTCCCCAGGTGCTGTCCCCAGGCCTGGTGGCACTCAGGAATGTCCCCAGTGATGTCCCCCCGATGTCCCCACTGTCTCCAGGTGGTGTTCCCAGGCCTGGTGGCACTCAGGGATGTCCCCAATGATGTCCCCACTGTCCCCAGGTGCTGTTCACAGGCCTGGTGGCACTCAGGGATGTCCCCACTGTCCCCAGGTGCTGTCCCCAGGCCTGGTGGCACTCAGGGATGTCCCCACTGTCCCCAGGTGCTGTTCACAGGCCTGGTGGCCTCCCCGGCGCTGCGGGTGGCCCTGGGGACGCTGGGTGGCACCGAGGCCACGTCAGTGCACGACTGCAGCCACCTGGTGACCGATGGCATCCGCCGGACACTGAAGTTCCTGTGTGCCCTGGGCAGGGGCGTCCCCATTGTCACCCCCCAGTGGCTGCTCGAGGTGACATTGGGGACAGCAGGGGGGGGGGACATCGGGCACATTGGGGGGGACAATGGGGACAATTGGGGGTTGGGGGGGTTGGGGACATTGGGGACAATCAGGGATTGGGGATATTTGGGACATTATGGACATTGGGGACAATCAGGGATTTGGGGACATGGGGGACTGGGGACATCAGGGGACACTGGGGATTGGAGACAGTCAGGAGGATTGGGAACACTGGGGACATCAGGGACATCAAGGGGATGTTGGGACATTGGGGACATCAGGGGGACATTGGGACATCAGGGACACCGAAGTTCCTCTGTGCCATCACCAGGGGTGTCCCCATTGTCACCCCCCAATGGCTGCTGCTGGTGACATCAGGGACAGTGGGGGGTTGGGGACAATTGGGGGACTTGGTGACAATGAGGGGAATTTGGGGACAAGGAGAAGGATTTGAGGACACTGGGGACAGGGGGTGGCACTGGAGACTTTGGGGGGCATTTGGGGACATTGGGTGGCCTTGGGGACAATGGGCATCTCGGGAACATTGGGGACAGCTGGAGTGGCCTTGGGGACAGGGGGACACTGGGGACATGGTGACAAGGGGGATTGGTCTTGGGGACATTTAGGGGTGGGTGGGTGACCTTGGGGACAGGGGGAACTCAGGGACAATGGGAGGGGCCTTAGGGACAGTGGGCGTGGCCTTGGGGACTTTGGAGCCTTGGGGACCGGGGGTGGCCTTGGGGACAGAGGGGCTTTGGGTGGCAGGGGAGGGTGACCTTGGGGTCAAGGGGAAGGACTTGGGGACAATCAAAGGGACTCTGGGTGGCTCTGGTGGCCGTGTGTGACCCGTGTGTCCCCGCTGTCTCCAGAGCTCCCACAGTGGCCGCCCGCTGTCCCCAGGTCCCTTCCTGCCCCGGGACCCCCCCTGTGAGCGGCGCTTCGGCTTCCGCCTGCGCCCGGCGCTGGCCCGGGCCCGAGAGCGGCCCCTGCTGCAGGTGACACTGCCCCACATGTCCCCACGTGTCCCCACATGTCACCTAACCCATCCCTGAGCCAGCCTAAGGCATAGCAATGGCTCCTGCTGCTGGTGACACTGGCCCCACATGTCCCCAAATGCCACCTCATGTCACTTCATGCCACCTAACCCATCCCCGACCCAGCCCCAGGCATGGCAATGGCCCCTGCTGCAGGTGACACTGCCCCACGTGTCCCTAAATGTCACCTCATGTCACCTAAACCCACCCCTGAGCCAGGCACAGCAATGGCCCCTGCTGCAGGTGACACTGTCCCCACATGTCCCCAAATGTCACCTAAACCCATCCCTGAGCCAGCCCCGGGCACAATGGCACCCCCTCCTGCAGGTGATGATGACATTAATGTCCCCAACTGTCCCCAACTTCTCCAATGTCCCCAATGCCCCAATCTCCTGAACCCCTCAATGTCCCCAGCCCCTGAATGTCCCCAGTGTCCCCCTGATGTCCCCAATACCCCATCCCCCCCAATGTCCCCAATGCCCCAATCTCCTGAACTCCTTGATGTCCCCAACCTGCTTAATGTCCCCAACATCCCCCCAGTCATCCCCAATGTCCCCAATGCCCCAACCCCCCCCCAATGTCCCCAATGCCCCAATCTCCTGAACCCCGCAATGTCCCCCAACCCCTGATGTCCCCAATGTCCCCCTGATGTCCTCTCTGTCCCCAGGGCTACCAGGTGCACGTCACCCCCAGTGTGCAGCCGTGCCCCGAGGACATGCGGGACATTGTCACCTGCTGTGGTGGCACCTTCCTGCCACAGCTGCCCCGGGAATATGCGGTGAGGGGACCGCGGGGACAGGGGACACTGGGGACATGGAGGGGGATTGGGGACGTTGGGACATTGGGGACAGTGGGGACATTGGGGGGACATTGGGGACATTGGGGGATTGGGGGATCTTGGGGTTTCTCCTGGGGGGTATTTCAGGGGTTTTGGGGGGGTGCTTGGGGTTTCTCATTCAGTTTTTGGAGGTTTTGGGGTTTCTCACTGGGTTTTTGGGGTTCTTAGGGACTTCTCACTGGGTTTTGGGTGGTTGGGGTTTTTTGGGGGGGGTCTTTGAGGTTTTTTGGGGGGCCCTCACTGGGTTCTGGGGTATTTGGGGGTTTTTGGGGATCCCAGGTTGTGCTCTGGGGGGAGACCCCATTGGGGGTTTTAGGGGATCTCATTGGGGTCAGAGGGTTCCTATTGGGGTTTTGGGGATTTCTCACTGGGGGTTTTGGGGGTCTTTTTGGGGTATTTGGGGTTCTTTTGGGGTGTTTGGCGTTTCTGATTGGAGTCTTGGGTTGTTTGGGGGTTTTTGGCGTTTCTAGCGGGGTTTTGGGGGTTTCTCACTGAGGTTTGGGGGTATTTGGGGTTTCTCTGTGGGTTATTTGGGGTTTCTCTCTGGGTTATTTGGGATTTCTGATGGAGTTTTCCCCCCAAGCCCAGTGTCCTGGTGATCTCGTGTCCCCAGGACAGGGCTGTGTGGGTTATTTGGGGCTTCTGACGGGATTTTTGGGGTTTTTGATGGGTTATTTGGGGTTCCTGATGAGTTATTTGGGGTTCCTAGCAGGGTTTTTGGAGTTCCTGATGGGGTTTTTGGGGTTTCTCTCTGTGTTTTTTGGGGTTCCTCACTGTGGTTTTGGGGTTTTTCCCCAGCCCCATGTCCTGCTGATCTCGTGTCCCTAGGACTGGGCTCTGTTTGTTATTTGGGGTTTCTCACTGGGTTATTTGGGATTTCTGATGGGGTTTTCCTGCCAAGGCCAGTGTTCTGGTGATCTCGTATCCCCAGGACAGGGCTGTGTTTTTTTTATTTGGGGTTTCTTTCTGGATTTTTGGGAGTTTTGATGGGTTATATGGGGCTTCTGATGGTGTATTTGGGGTGCCTGACAGGTTTTTTGGGGTTTCTGATGGGTTATTTGGGGTTTCTGTTGGGTTTTTTTTGGGTTTTTCCCCCAGCCCCCTGTCCCGGTGATCTTGTATCCCCAGGACTGGGCTGGGTGGAGTTTGGGGTTCCTCACTGGATTATTTGGGGTTCTTTTGGGGTATTTGGGGTTTCTGATAGGGCTTTTGGGGTTCTGACACTGTTTCCCCCCAGCCCAGGCTGCTGGTCATTTACTGTCCCCAGGACCGTTGGGATCCCGTTCGGGTTTGGGGTTTCTGATGGGGTTTTGGGGGTTCCTCTCTGGGTTTTTGGGGTTTCTCACTGGTTCTTGGGGTCCTGACCCGATTCCCCCTAGCCTTGTGTCCTGGTGATCTCCAGGACCTTTCTGATCCCATTGGGGTTTGGAGTTCCTCTCTGGGTTTTTGGGGGTATTTGGGTTCTTTTTGGGGTTCCTCTTTGGGTTTTTGGGGTTTGTCATGGGGTTTTTGGGGGCTGTCTCTGGGGTTTTGGTGTTCCTTATTGGGTTTTTTGGGTTTCTCTCTGTGTTATTTGGGCTCCCTGACCATGTTTTTGGGGTACCTGATGGGGTTTTTGGGGTTCCTGACTGTGTTTTTGTGGTTCCTGACTGTGTTTTGGGGGTTCCTGACTATGTTTTTGGGGTTCCTGACTGTGTTTTGGGTCCCCAGCCCCGTGTCCTGGTGATCTCGTGTCCCCAGCACCGGGCTCTGTTATTTGGGGTTTCTCGCTGGGTTATTTGGGGTTCTGATGGGGTTTTTGGGGTTCCTGACTGTGTTTTGGGGGTTCCTGGCTGTGTTTTTGGGGTTCCTGACTGTGTTTTTGTGTCCCCAGCCCCGTGTCCTGGTGATCTCGTGTCCCCAGGACCGCAGGCTGTGGCCCTCGGCCGTGGCCGCACGGCTCCCGCTGCTCTCGGTGGAGCTGCTGCTCTCGGGGGTGCTGCAGCAGCGCCTGGAGCTGGCACCGTTCCTGCTGAGCCCCTGGCAGCCCCCCAAACACACCCCTGAGCCCTCCCAAAACACCCCAAATCCCACCCAAAACCAAACAAATCCCACCCAAAACCAAAAAAATCCCGCCCAAAAACCCCCAAATCCCACCCAAACCCAAAAAAATCCCGCCCAAAAACCCCCAAATCCCACCCAAAAAACCCCAAATCCTGCCCAGAAACGGAAAAATCCCCCTCGAAAAACCTCAAATCCTCCCCCACAAACCCCAGATCCCACCCCAAAAACCCCAAATCCCCCCCGAAACCAAAAGAATCCCACCCAGAAACGCCCAAATCCCACCCAAAGTACTCCAAACCCACCCCGAAAAACCCCAAATCCCCCCCAAAAACAAAAAAATCCTCCCCAAAAAACCCCAAATCGCCCTCAGAAACGCCCAAATCCCACCCAAAATCCCCCAATCCCACCCCAAACCCAGTCCCGGCCCCATTCCGGGGGCTCCACCCCTCCCCCGAGCCCCCCCAGGACCCGGAGTGAGCGGAGACCCCCCCAAAATCCCCCCCCGAAAACCCCAAATTCAGGGACTCGCCAAAAATCCCCAAATCCACCCCAAAAATCCCCAAATCCACCCCAAAAAACCCCCAAACGGCCCCGGGGTCACTCAGAGGGTCCCGACCCCGATTTTGGGGTCCCAGACCCCCCACGGGAGCCCCCCAGGATCCGGAGCCGTCAGGGAGCCCCCCAAAATCCCCCTCGGGACCCCCCAAATTCAGGGACATCCAAAAAACCCCCAAATCCAACCTCAAAAACCCCAAACCCGCCCCCAAAAAACCCCAAACAGCCCCGGGGTCCCCCTGGGGGTCCCAACCCCAATTCTGGGGTTCCAGATCCCCCCCTGGAGCCCCCCTGGACCCGGAGCGGGCGCAGACCCCCCCCAAATGCAGGGAACCTCCAAAAAACCCCAAACCGGCCCCAAAAAGCCCCAAATCCCACCCCAAAACGCACCCGGGGTCCCCCCGAGGGTCCCGCCCCCAATTTTGGGGTCCCCGAGCCCTCCCCGAGCCCCCCCCGGACCCGGAGCCGCCGGGGGGCCCCAATAAAGTGAATTTGGGCTGCGGAATTTGGGGTTCTGGGGGTTCTTGGGGTCAAAAATCCGAAATTTTGGGGGGGAGGAACTGGGAGAGTTTGGGGACATCCCGGGGACAGCCCTGGGGTGGCCGTGGGGGGGTTGGGGACACAATGGGGACACTTTTGGGGACATTAGGGAACCCTTGTGGACACCGGGGATCCTCTTAGGGACCCCCTGGGGACATTGGGGACCCCCCCTGGGGTGGCCATGGGGGGTTGGGGACATCAGAGAGCCCTTGGGGACACCAGGGACTGTCTCGGGGACACTTTGGGGACACCACGGACCCTTTTGGGGACCCCCCGGGATTGTTATGGTGACCTTGGGGACATCAGGGACTTCCATGGGGACACATTGGGGGCATCAGGGACCCCCGTGGAGACAGTTTGGAGACAACGGGGCCCTTCTGGGGACATCGGGGCCCCCCTTGGGGACACCAAGGTCCCTTTTGGGGACCCCTTGGGGACATTGGGGACCCCCCTGGGTTGGTCATGCGGGGGTGGGGGGCATCAAAGGTCCCTTTGGGGACACTGGGGACCCTTTGGATTTAGCCCCGCCCCCTAATCCTTAGCCAATCAGCGCTCTCGTGGCATGGCACTGCAGCCAATGGCAGCTCAGGATGGGCGGGAGTTTCGCTACCATGGAAACGCCCGAGGCGGGTCACCATGGTAACGAGCGAGGACGCTTCCGCGTTTCTGCCCCGCCCCCTGCCGCTCTTAGCCAATCAGCACTCGCGGAGCCGAACAGCCAATGGCGGTGCAGAAGGGGGCGTGAACAGCGTTGCCATGGCAACGGGGCGGCCGGGCCTGCGGCGGGAAAAGCCAGAAAAGGTAAAAAAGGGAATAAAAAGGGAAAAAAACGGGAATGAAACCCGGGATTGGTGTGGGGCGGGAGAGACTGGGGGGGCTGGGGGACAGCGGGACCCCTCGAGGATGGGCGTGGGGTGTTCGGGGACCCTGACTGACCCTGCCAGTACCAAATGCCCCCTCAGGACCCTGACTGGCTCTGCCAGGACCCCATTCCCCCCTCAGGATCCTGATTGACCCTGCCAGGACCCCTTTCCTCCCTCAGGACTCTGATTTACCCTGCCAGGACCCCATTCCTCCTTCAGGACTCTGATTGACCCTGCCAGGACCCCACTACCCCCTCAGGACCCTGATTTGCCCTGCCAGGACCCCGTCTCCCCTCAGGACCCCAGTTTACCTTTTCAGACCCTCATTTACCCTTCCATAGATCCCCGGACCGCATTAACCCCGCCCAAAGACTGCACTGAGCCTTTCAGGACCCCATTTCCCCTCCTAAGACCCCATTTCGCCTTCCAGAACCCGATCCCCTCTTAGCCCCGCCCATCTCCCCCAGAGGCGCCCTCCCATTGGTCGGAGGGGGAGGCGGGATCCGGGAGCCGCCGCATCTGATTGGCTGAGGCGGGAGCGCGGGAAAGCGGCGGCGGGGGCGCCTTCCCGGCGTGCACCGCGCGGGGGAACTGGGAGAGACTGGGAGCGGAACTGGAAGGTACTGGGGGGAACTGGGAGGGACTGGGAGCGTGGGGAGGGGGAACTGGGAGCAACTGGGAGGGACTGGGAAGGGCTGGGAGCGTGGGGACGGTCTGGAAGGTGAGTGGGACTGGAGACAGGCTATACTGGTCCATACTGGGAACTGTCCCCCTACAGGTCGCCGATGGCCGAGCCCCGCCCGGGCCCTCCCAGTGCTCCCAGTGCCTCCCAGTACTCCCAGTTCTCCCCTCCCAGTGCTCCCAGTGCCCCCCAGTGCTCCCAGTTCCCCCCTCCCAGTGCCCCCCAGTGCTCCCAGTTGCCCCCTCCCAGTCTGGAGGGGCTCATTCCCCCCTCCCACTTTGTGCTGCGCCCCAGGTGAGGCTCCCAGTGCTCCCAGTGACCTCTCAGTAACTCCCAGTGACCTCCCAGTGCTCTGAGTAGCCTCCCTGGAACCCCCAATAACCTCCCAGTAACCTCCCAGTAACCCCAGTTCCCCCTCCCAGTGCTCCCAGTAACCCCCTGTGACCTCTCAGTAACTCCCAGTTCCCCCTCCCAGTGCTCCCAGTAACCCCACTCCCCCTCACAGGTCCCTGGGGGCGGAGCTTGAGGCAGAAAGGGGGCGTGGCCATGAATTGGAGGTGGAGCTGAAAGCACTGAAGGGGCGGAGCCAGCACCTGGAGGCAGAGCTTGAAGCAGAAAAGAGTCGGAGCCATCGGCTGGAGGCGGAGCTTGAAGCAGAAAAGGGGCGGAGCCAACAGCTGGAGGCAGAACTTAAGACAGAAAGGGGGCGGAGCCAAGTGCTGAGGGTGGAACTCGATGCCCTGAGGGGGCGTGGCCAGCAATTGGAGGCAGAGCTGGATGCAGAAAAGGGGCGGAGCCAAATCCTGGAGATGGAGCTGGAGACCTTCAGGGGGCGGGGCCTCAGCCCAGAGGGGGCGGAGCCAAGCCCGGAGCAGGTGAGGCCTCGGTGCTCCCAGTTACCCCCAGTGCTCCCAGTTACTCCCAGTTCCCCCCAGTGCTCCCAGTTACCCCCAGTGCTCCCAGTAACTCCCAGTTACCCCCAGTACTCCCAGTTACCCCCAGTGACTCCCTGTAGCTCCCAGTGTTCCCAGTTACTCCCAGTGCTCCCAGTGACTCCCAGTAACTCCAAGTTACTCTCAGTATCTCCCAGTGCTTCCCAGTAACTCCCAGTGCTCCCAGTAACTCGCAGTCTCACCTGTCCCAGGTGTTCTGGGTTTGTCTCAGGGCCGGAGCCACCCCGGGAGGGACTGGGGACACCTGGGGGGACAATGGGGATATTTGGGGGCACTTGGGGACACACCAGAGCACACCTGGGGGGACTTGAGACACACCTGGGGACATTGGGGACACACCTGGGGGCACACCAGGGCCACACCTGTGGACACTGGGGACACCTGGAGGCTCCTGGGTGCGTCTGGGACATCTGAGCACACGTGGGGGACATTGGGGGCACACCTGGGGATGTTGGGGACACACCTAGGGGACGTTAGGGACACACCCTGAGGTGCCCCAGGTGTGTTTAGGGTGTCTCAAGTACATTGGAGGTGGTTCAGGTGGGGTTTTTGGGGTTCTCCAAGTGAGTTTGAGGTGTCTCAGGTGAGTTTGGAGTGCCCCAGGTGAGTTTTGGGGGTCTCAGGTGAGTTTGGGGTGCCCCAGGTGAGTTTTGGGGGTCTCAGGTGAGTTTATGGGATCTCTCAGGTGTGTTTGGGGTGTCTCGGGTGAGTTTCAGGTCTCTCACATGTATTTGGGATCTCAGGTGAGTTTGGGGTCTCAGGTGTGTTTTGGGGATCTCTCAAGTGAGTTTTGGGGTGTCCCAGGTGAGTTTTCTAGGTCTGAGGGGTGTTTGGGGTCTCAGGTGAGTTTCGGGTCTCTCAGGTATATTTGGGGTTCCCCAGGTGAGTTTCTGGGTTCCCCAGGTGTGTTTGGGGTCTTTCAGGTGTTTTTGGGGTCTCGGGTGTGTATTTGGGGTCCCAGGTGAGCTCTCTCTCCCCAGGTGCTGCTGGGCCGCTGGCGCCAGAAGGTTTTCCAGCTGCTGCTGCAGGTGAGCCTGCAACGGGGCCAGGAGCTACGGCTGCAGGGACAGGTGAGGGGACAGGGAAGGGGACAGGTGAGGGGACACACCTGGGACAGGGGACAGGGGAGAGCACACCTGGTGCCGGTGAGGGGACACAGGGACAGGTGAGAGCACACCTGAGACAGGTGAGAGGACACAGGGGACACACCTGGGACAGGTGAGGGGACAGGTGAGGGCCTGGCATGCCTGTGACAGGTAAGGGGACACAAGGGACACCCCACACCTGGGGCAGGTGACACCCTGGACAGGTGAGACCCTACAGGTAGGACCAACCCCACACCTGGGGGGACCCTCTGGGGTCACCTGTGTCCCTTTGGGGTCACATGGACACACCTGTGTCCTGGGAGGGTCTGGCGGTCATCTGGGCAGGTCACCTGTGTCCCTCAGGGATGTCACCTGTGTCCCCCTGTGTCCCCCTGTCCCAGGTGCGCTCCCTGGGTGCTGTAAGGATGTCACACCTGTGCCCCACCTGTGTCACACCTGTGTCACACCTGTGTCCCTGTCCCAGGTGTGTTCCCTGGGTGCTGTAAGGATGTCACACCTGTGTCACACCTGTGTCACACCTGTGTCCCTGTCCCAGGTGTGTTCTCTGGGTGCTGTAAGGATGTCACACCTGTGTCACACCTGTGTCACACCTGTGTCCCTGTCCCAGGTGTGTTCTCTGGGTGCTGTAAGGATGTCACACCTGTGTCACACCTGTGTCACACCTGTGTCACACCTGTGTCCCTGTCCCAGGTACGCTCCCTGGGTGCTGCAGTGGCCGCCAGGTCCCGCCAGGTGTCGCTGTTGGAGCTGCGGCTGCGCCAGGGGGAGCAGGAGAGACAGGTGAGGGACACCTGGGGACATTGGGGACACACCTGGGGACACACCTGGGACATTGGGAACACACCTGGGGACATTGGGGACACACCTGGGGCAGTGGAGGGCCACCTGGGGACATTGGGGACACACCTGGGACAGGTGAGGGACACCTGGGGACACACCTGGGGACATTGGGGACACACCTGGGACACGTGAGGGACACCTGGGGACACACCTGGGGACATTAGGGACACACCTGGGACAGGTGAGGGACACCTGGGGACACACCTGGGACAGGGGAGGGACACCTGGAGACATTGGGGACACACCTGGGACATTGGGGACACACCTGGGACAGGTGAGGGACACCTGGGGACACACCTGGGACAGGGGAGGGACACCTGGGGACACACCTGGGGACATTGGGGACACACCTGGGACATTGGGGACACACCTGGAACAGGGGAGGGACACCTGGGGCCATTGGGCACACCTGGGGCAGGTGAGGGGACACCTTGGGGACAGCTGGGGGGTTGGGGACACCTTGGAGCCATCTGGGGCCAGTCTGGGGACAACGTGGGGCTGTTCCGTGTCCAGGCCCTGTCCCAGGAGCGGCTCCGGGCGGAGGCGGCCGAGGAGGAGCTGGGGAAACTGGGCCAGGCCCTGAGCCGGTACTGGGGGAACTGGGAGGGACTGGAGGGGACTGGACTGTCCCCATCGCTGTCCCCAGGCTGTTGGGGACACTGGGATGAACTGGGATGAGTTGGTTTGTACTGGGATGAACTGGGATGTCCCCATTGCTGTCCCCAGGCTGTTGGGGACACTGGGGGTTACTGGTTTGTACTGGTTTGAACTGGTTTGTACTGGGCTGTCCCCGTTGCTGTCCCCAGGCTGTTGGGGACACTGGGCGTGGCCCTGGCCGATGTCACCATGGCTGTCGGGGCCCTGGGGACCCTCAGTGAGCGCCTGGGACGGGCCCAGCACCGACTGCAGGGTCAGTGACACTGGGGACACCTGGGGACACTGCAGGGACACTTTGTGGGAGGACTGGGGACACTTTGGGGACACCTGGGCACACCTTGGGGACACTTTGTCAGGATTGGGGACACTCTGGGCACAGTTTGGGGACAGTTGGGGGGTTTGGGGACACCTTGGAGGCATTGGGGGAGGACTGGGGACACTTTGGGGGATTTTGGGGACACCCTGGGGACTTTGGTGTGGTGGGGACACTTTGGGGACAATTTGGAGGTGTTGGGGGATGATTGGGGATGACTGGGAACACCTGAGGGGGGTTGGGGACATTGGGGGAACACTTTGGGCCTGTTGGGGACACCTTGGGCCATTGGGAATGGTTTGGGGGGTTGGGAACACTTTGGGAGGGGTAGGGATGCTCCTGGAACATCTTGGGGACACTTTGGGGACATTTGGGACAACTTAGGAGGGATTGGTGACACCTTGGGGACTGTGGGGACACTGTGAGGACACTGGGGACACTGTGGTGGCCGTGCCCACTGTCCCTGTCCCAGTGTCCCCTCTGTCCCCAGCTCTGGTGGCCTCAGGGCGGCTCCGGTGGCGGCGGAAACCAGAGGGGACAGCAGGGGACAGCAGGTGAGTGACACCGGGGACACTGGGGGTGGCACTGGGGACATTTGGGACATCAGGGTGTGACCCTGGGGACATTTGGGACATTGACATGGCCCTGGGGACAGCAGGGTGACACTGGGTACATTGGCAGGTTACTTTGGGGACACTGGGGACATTGGGGACAGTGGGTGACTGACACTGGGGACACTGGGGGTGGCACTGGGGACAGTAGGCACAGCAAGTGTGGGACACCAGGGGTGGCACTGGGGACAGTGGGGACATTGAGATGACCCTGGGGACACTGTGGGGCTGGCATTGGGGATGCTGGGGACAGTGGTGACACCGGGGCCATCAGGGGTGGCCCTGGGGACAGTGGGGACAGTGGTGACACCGGGGTCACCCTGAGAACACTGGGGTGGCACAGGTGACATCAGGGGATGGCTGTGGGGACAGTGCTGAGCCCGGGGGTGACACAGCAGCTCTGTCCCCTCTGTGTCCCCAGCACGGTGGCCCCGGAGGTGACATCGGAGAAGGTGAGGAGGTGGCACCGAGGGGCCAGGGGTGGCTCTGTCCCCAGGGTGTCACTCCCATGTCCCCCCCAAGCCACCAAGGGTGGGGACAGGACCCAGCCACGCCCAGGCACAGGTGGGTGTGTCCCCAAATGTCCTCAAATATGTCCCCAATGTCTCCAAACGTGTCTCAAATGTGGCCCCAGTGTCCCCAAATGCGTCCCTGTATTCCCAATGTCCCTAGTGTCCCCTCAGTGTCACCAGATGTCCCCAGATGTCTCCCAGTGTGTTCCCAAATGTGTCCCTGAGTGTTCCCAAATGTCCCTCACCGTGTCCCCAAGTGTGTCCCCAGTGTCCCTAAATATCCCTTCAATGTGTCCCCAATGTCCCCACGTGTCCCTAAAAACGTCCCTGAATGTCCCCAAATGTCCTTCAACATCCCCAATGTCTTCAGTGTCCCCTCAATGTGTCCCCAGATGTGTCCCCAGTGTCACTCCAGTGTCCCCAACATGTCCTTGCAGTGTCCCTGGCCCCGTTGGTGACGCAGCTCCAGGCCCTCGGTGCCGCCATCCTCGGGGACATTGGGGACCCCGCAGTGCCAGCGCCCCCGTGGGGACACCGGTGATGTCATCGGGGACACAGGTGACATCATCAGGGAGCGGTGGCACTGCCAGGACAGAGATGACATCACTGTGGAGGTGGTTACATCACTATGGTGATGCTGATGATGTCACTATGATGGTGATGACATCATGGCTCTGCCCCAGCCCTGGCTCGGTGTCACTTTGTCCCTGCCCAGCCCCTGATGTCCCCAAAGCTGCCACAACCATCCCAGAGGGTCCTCGAAGAGTCCCTAATGTCCCCATGGAGCTTCTTTGGTGTCCCCAACCCCCCCAATGGCCTCCTGGTGTCCCCACATGTCCCAGGAATGTCCCCAGTTTACCCAAGGAGTCAAAACCCCACCCAAAGTGTCCCCAAAGGTGGACATGGTAACAGAAATTCCCATGGCAACAGAAGTCCTGCCCATCCTGTGCTGCCATTGGCTGCTGTGCTCAGGACTGAGAGCGCTGATTGGCTGGGTTTGAAGGGGGAGGAGCTAAACACAGAACCGGGCCTGAACCAGTATAGACTCAACTAGGAACTGGGATAAATTGGGAACTGGGCCCAAACCAGTACAGACTCAACTGGGAACTGGGATAAACTGGGAACTGGGCCTGAACCAGTACAGATTGAACTAGGAGTGGTCTCAAACCAGTACAGGGGCTAAACTGGGAACTGGGATGAGCTGGGACCAGTGCCTGAACTGGGACCAGAACCCCAGACTGGTCCAGGAGCCACAGTGATCACTCACAGACCCAGCACTGCTTCTGGTTTGTACTGGTTCATACTGGTGCATATTCCTCCATAGTGATTTATGCTGGTTTGTACTGGTTTGTACTGTTTCATACTGGTCCATACCGGTCACTGGCCGTACTCCAGCCCCCCTGCGTGTTACCTGTGCTCTCCCAGTGGTGTCTGAGCTGCAAGTGCGGGGGACAGTAGCCACAGGAGAATGGCCACGGCCTGAGGGTCAGCAGGAATGGCCACAGGGGAACGGCCACGGCCTGAGGGTCAGCGGGAATGGCTGCAGGGGAACAGCCACAGCCTGAGGGTCAGCGGGAATGGCCGCAGGGGAACAGCCACAGCCTGAGGGTCAGTGGGAATGGCTGCAGGGGAACAGCCACAGCCTGAGGGTCGGGGGTCTCAGGGGAATGGCCATAGCCCAGGCTCAGCAGGACGTGCCGCTCGCCCTTGGGCCGTTGCCACCAAGCGCTTCCTGTGGTCCCGGCGGTGCCCGGCCTCACCGGCGTGTGTGCCGTGCGGCCACTGCGGCACAGGAGCTCGTGGCCATGCAGATTCACCAGTGTCCAGCTGGGCTGCAGCGGGTTGGTCAGCAGGGGGATGTCCAGTGTGGTCACTGTGGTGGTGGCTGGCTTGGGTTTGACGTAGAAGATGGTGGGCAGCTGCAGCGGCATGGCCAGAGTGGCGGCGGTGTTGTCTGGCATGATCCACGCGGGGCCTTTGTCATTGTCATAGTTGTCATCATTGTCATCGCCATCATTGTCATCATCACCATCCTCCATGTGGATCTTGATCTCCTGGGATGGCAGAGACGGGGATGTGGCAGTGGCCATGCGGAGCTGGAGGAGCTCCATGGTGGTGGCGTGGGTGGCCCAGGAGGAGGAGAAGGAGGAGGAGAAGGAGAAGGAAGAGTCATTGTTACTATGGATTGTCACAATGTCGGAGTGGATTGTCACATTGTCACCATGGATTGTTCTGTCCCCACCTTGGATAGTCCTAATGTCACCATGGATAGTCCTAATGTCACCATGAATGGTTCCGTGTCCACCATGGATGGTCCTAATGTCACCATGGATGGTCTCGATGTCACCATGGATGGTCCTGATGTCATCATGGATTGTCCCGTCCCCAACGTGGATGGTGCTAATGTCACCATGGATAGTCCTAATGTCACCATGGATGGTCTTGATGTCACCACAGATGGTCCTGATGTCACCATGGATTGTCCTGTCCCCACCATGGATGGTCCTGATGTCACCATAGATCGTCCCCTCACTGCCGTGGGAACACCATGGTGACAATGACGATGACAAGGATCCTTCTCCTCTGCAGTTGAGCCACAGGGCCTCAACAGAGGGTCCATGAGGAGGAGGATGAAGATCTTTCTCCACCGTGGTTGGCACGCAATGACCCACTGGGACCGTGGGTGGTGTGTGACAATGACAGTGGAGACTCTTCACTACCATGGACTGCCCCTGATGACAATGGAGACCCTTCATGACCATGGTCGGCCTTTGATGACAATGGAAATCCTTCATGGCCATGGTTGGCTTGTGATGATGATGACGATAAAGGCGAAGACCCATCAAGACCACGGATGGACTCATCTCCATCATGGACATTCCACAACGTTAATGACCCTTCAGGAAGATGAATGGTCCTTGATGATGATAATAAAGACCCTTCACCACGACAGATGGTCCATCATGATGATGATGAGAAAGGCAAAGACCCATCCAGACCATGGATGGCTCTTGAAGATCAGGGATGGACCCGTCATGGTCATGGATAACCTTTGATGGTGACAATGACAGTGAAGACCCATCAAGGCCACAGTTGGACTCATGACTGTCACAGATGTTCTACAATGATGATGACCCATCAATGATGATGACCACGGATGTTCCTTTACATGGTCCCATCATGACCATGAATGTTCTGTGACGATGATGATGCCGATGACTCATCATGACCGTGAATGTTCTGTGACTATGTCGATGACGATGCCCCACCACGACCCTGCTGGCCCCATCCCCCTCCAGCTCCTGCAGGATCTGTCAGCATGGCTCCACCACATGCCCCATTTGCAGCACGCTGGCCACCAGCAAACTCCAGCTAGAACCCTCCAGGACCCCCCAAATCGTCCCCAGGATTTTCCAAAACCCCTCCTAGAACCTTCCAGGACCCCTCGGGAGCCCCCAAACCCCACCAAGGACCCCTCAAGGCCCTTCAGGTCCTCCCAGATCCTCTCCAGGAATTGCCAGAACCCCCAAACCCTCTTGGGACCCCTCAAATCCTCCCCAGGACCCCTCAAATCCTCCTCAGGACCCCCAACACCCCCCCTCTGAGGCCCTTTTCTGTAATGCCTCCAATTGGGAATAAAAGTTGACTTTACAGAAAGTTCCTGGAAAACTGGGAATTTGCTGGAAAATCAATGTTTATTCCCAATCTGAAGCATTAAAATACAGGAATTTTCAGGAAAATAAACTTTTATTGCCAATTTGGGGCATTAAAAACTGAGAATTCCTTGGAAAAATCAACGTTTTATCCCAGTTTGGGGCATCTGAGGGGTCTTGGGTCCTGTTTTTGTGGATTTCCATGGAATTCCCAGTATTTTAGGGGTTTCCAGGGAATTCCCGGGATTTTGGGGTCCTGGTCCCATTTTTTTGGGGATTCCCGTGGAATTCCCTGGATTTTGGTGGGGGGTGTCCATCCCATTTTTGGAGTATACCTCCCCTCTTCCCCCCCCCCAATCCATTTCAGTTTCGAGTCTCAGACCTCGCCACCGGTTTGGCCACGCCCCTTTCTTCAATCTGACCAATCAGAGCTTGGGGCGGGGCCTAGGGGACACCGCCTGTCTGGGGGGGTAAATGAGGTCCCAGAAGGTGACTGGGGTCCTGGAAGGGGAAATGTGGCCTTGAGAGTGGGGGGCTCAGAGTCGTGGCAGGGGAAATGAAGGTCCTGGGGGTGTAAATGGGGTCCTGGAAGGGCAAATGAGGGTTCTGAAGCGTTCATTGGGGTCCTACGGACGGAATTCAGGACCGTCATCTAACCTGCCAGGACCCCCATTTACCCCTTCAGGACCCTAAATGATCTATGTAGGATCCCATTTCCCCCCTCAGGACGCTCATTCCCCCGCCAGGACCCAGTTCACCCCCTCAAAACCCCATTTTCCCTTCCAGGACCCCATTTGTCCCCATAGCCATGGAAACAGCACCTGTGAGTGACCGGGGCTTGCTGGGTTGGTCCCTGTCCCCAAATATCCCCAGTGACGTCACCCCAGGAATTCCCATCAGTATTTTGGACAATTTTAATGAAAATTCCGCAGATTTATTTCAAATCCTGTGCTGGGACAGTGGCAGGGGACAGGTGACAGCAGCGATGTCCCCAATGGTGTCACCACCCCGATGACATCACAGTGGTGACATCACTGTCCCTGCAGCAGCCTCGGGATGTCCTCGATGGCTCTTTGGCACCTCTCAGCCACTGCATGGGCACCGGGGCCACCAGGGAGCCTGCGGATGTCCCCAAGTGTCCTCAGCAGGTGACGCGTGGCCAGGCGGCTGCTGGCCTCCCACAGCCGCTCGGCCTCGGCCACCTTGGCCACCAAGCCCTCGGGGACATCGGGGGACGCCTCATTTGTCCCCTTCAGGGCAGCCTCGATGTCCCCGAGCCGGTGCTGCAGCTCCCAGGGGAACGCGGTGGCTTTGTCACACGCAGCCACCAAGCGCTCCAGCAGCCCCAGGGCTGCTTCTGCCCGCTGTCCCCTTGTGGTGGCCGCCCCCTCCTTGCTTCTGGCCACCATGGCATCTTCCATGGCCTTGGAGGCTGCCTCCATCTCTTTGCGGGCAGCCGCCAGCCGGGCCTCGTGCGCAGCCTCCTCCGAGTCCATCTTCTCCTTGTCCGTGGCCAGTGGCAGCTGTCTGGCCTCGGCCACCAGGTTCTCCTGAGCTGTCCCCCAGCGGGTGGCCATGTCCTGCAGGTCCCTGGCCTGGGTGTTGGCGGTGGCCGCGGTGGTGGCCTCCCTGGTGGCTGCGTCCCTGCAGGCGTCGCGGAGCTCGGTGGCCTCTCGGGCCAGCCGGGCCCAGCTGTCCTCGATCATGGCCACCGACTCCCGCCAGGCACTGGCTGCGGCTGTCACATGGGCCCAGGTGGCCCCCAGGTTGGCCCTAAAGGCATCCAGGGCCTGGCCCAGGGAGGTGACACCTTGGTGGTCCAGGGTGTCCTGGAGGTGACCGATGAAGGTCCCCAGGGCCTTGTGCAGGGACCTTGGGGATACGGCCAGCAGCACGTCCCCGTATGGCCCGGCCACGGTGGCTGCCAGCTCACCAAGCGTGGCCACCACGGCCACCAGCGCCTCCAGCAGCTGTGGAGGGGAAAGGGGAGGTGTCAGGGATCTTAGGGCACTTGTGCCCTCCCGGGGTAGCCCCTCTGCCCTCCCAGTATCCCGTTTGTTCCCTCCCTGGAGGGCTCTGCTGTCCCCTCTGTCCCTGTGTCATCCCCTCGTCCCCTCTGCCACCCTCGGTCCCCTCCAGCCCTCTGTCACCTCCCCCCTTCCCGCCACGCTCCTGTCCCCTCCTGCCCCTCCCTGTGTCCCCTCCGTTCCTCCACCGTCCCCTCCTCCCCCTCCGCCCCGCGCCGGGATTGTCGCACCTCGCGGGGCTCCATGGCCGCTGGGGACACTCCGGGGACTCTTTGAGGACACTCCGGGGACACTCCAAGGGCCGCTGGACGGGATAGGGGGGACACGCCCGGGGACACTCGGAGCACACGCGGAACGGGCACGGCCGGATGGGGGCAGGGCGAGGTGATGTCACCGCCCCCTCCGCCCCCCCCGCCCGCGGGGCCAGGGCGGGGTCCCCAAAGTCCACCCCCCATGTCCCCAACGGGTCCCAATGTCCCCAACAGGAGCCCAATGTCCCTTCGTGTCCCGTTGGGGACACTGGGGACACACCGGGGTCCTGTTGGGGACACTTTAGGGACATCGGGCACATCGTGGTGACCCAAAACGGGACAAAGGACGTCAGGGCCGCCCCGGTGTCCCCAAGGGAAGGACACGGGGGTGGCCCCAAGGTCTCCAATGTCCCTGGGGTGTCCCCGTGCCCCGGCGGTGACAGTGCCACCCCTGTGTCCCCACCCTACCCCTGCCCTGCCAGCGCCCCCTGTGCCACCTCTAGCCTCCGCGTCACCTCCTCATGCCCCTCCCCCGAGGTCCCCAAGGCCACCACGATGTCCCCGAGCACCCGGGCAGCGCTGGGGAAGCCCTGTCCCCTTGTCCCCCACGGTGTCACCTCCCTGTCCCGAGTGACAGCGGCCACCAACGTCCCCAGCGCCCGCGTCACCTCCTCCAGCTGCCCCAGCACATCCGCGGTGGCCTCGTTGGTGGCCGCGGTGGCCTCGGCGCTGGCCCTGGTGGCCGCCACCCGTCGGGCGCGATCCCGCAGGCGCAGAGCCATGTCCCGCTGGTGGCCCGCAGCAGTGGCCAGGTGACGCCGCGATGTCTCCAAGCCCCGCCAGGCCACCTCGCAGGACACGGCCACCGCCGCCAGGGCCAGCAGCAGGTGACTGTCCTCAGCCACCCCCAGGGCGGCGCGGGCTGAGTCCAGGGACACTGCGGGGACACCACACAGGTGGCATCAGGAACACAGCAGTGCCACCAGCCCAATGTCACCAACCCAGTTCCAGCCAAGTGTCCCCAGTCCTGTCCCAGTGCCACCAGCCCAGTGCTCCCAGTGCCACCACTCCATTGTCCCCCTACCTATGTCACCATGCCAATGTCACCACTACCACATATAGCACCAGCCCAATGTCACCAGTTCAATCCCAGTGTTCCCCACCCCGTCCCAGTGTCCCCAGTCCCTTCCTGATGTCCCCATCCCAGTGTCCCCTCTCAGTGCCCCCAGTCCTGTCCCACTATCTCCATCCCAGTGTCCCCAATCCTCTCCCACTGTCACCTGTTCCAGCCCAGTGCCACCAGTTCTGTCCCACTGTCACCACCTGAGTGCCACTACCCTGGTGTCACCAACCCAGTTCCAGCCCAGGGTCCCCAGTCCTGTCCCAGTGCCACTGGTCCAGTGCTCCCAGTTGCAGCTCAGTGTCCCCCCCCCCCCATTGTCACTGTGCCAGTGTCACCACCCCAGTGTCACCAGTTCAATCCCAGTCTCCCATCCCGGGGCAGGGGGAGGTTTCTACTGGTTTGTAGGGCTCCATGCTGGTCTGTACTGGTCTATACTGGTCAGAGCAGGGGAAAGTCTCTGTTGGTCTGTAGATATTCATACTGGTCCAAACTGGTCTGAACTGGTCCCCGCTGCTCTATACTGGTTCATACTGATCCTTACTGCTCCATAGTGTCTTATACTGGTCTGTACTGGTCTATACTGGTTTATACTGGTCAGGGCAGGGGGAATTTTCTGCTGGTCTGTAGATATTCATACTGATCTATACTGGTCCGAACTGGTCTGAACTGGTCTGTAGTGCCTCCCACTGAGGCAGTACAGACTCACAGTACACAATACTGCCACAGTGTGCTATGAAGATGCATACTGGTCTGAACCAGTTTATACTGGTCCATACTGGTCTATACTGGTCTGAACTGATATACACTGGTTCAGGCAAGGGGAAGTTCTACTGGTCTGTAGATATTAATACTGGTCTATACTGGTCTGAACTGGTCTGAACTGTCTCTCACTGAGGCAGCACAGACTCACAGCATACAGTGCTGCCACAGTGTGCTATGAGGATGTATACTGGTCTGAACTGGTTTATACTGGTCTGAACTAGTTTATACTGGTCTGTACTGGTCCATACTGCCCCATATTAGTCCATACCATTCCACACTGGTCCATACTACTCTATACTGGTCTGTACTGGTTTATACTGGTCACGGAGGGGGAAATTCTCCACTGGTCTGTAGATATTCATACTGGTCCATACTGGTCCATACTGCTTTATACTGGTCCATACTGGTCCATACTGGTTTTTACTCACACACGGTCCCACACAGCACCATCAGCCCCATGGTCAGCCCGTGCCCAGCCCGCAGCCAGCGCTGGCACCGCCGTGCCCGTCCCTCCTCGCGTTCCAGTGTCACCGCTGCCGCCTCAGCCATGGCCCCGACCTGCCACAGCCGCTGCTCGTCCTCGTCCCCCAGGGTCCCCAGGGCCACCGCCGGGGCCACCGCGGCCTCCCGGGCCCTCTCCAGCCCCTCCCGGGCCACCCGGGCCTGTCTCAGTGCAGCCTCGGCCTCAGCCAGTGCCGTGGGGACATTGTCTGGTGTCCCCAAGGCCTCGGCCAGGGCCACCAGGGCCGCCAGGGCCCGGTGCCGTGCGGCCTCTGCTGGGGCCACCTCGGGAGGGAGGGCAGGGGGGGACACCTGAGGACATGAAAGGGGGGTTAGGTGGGTGGGTAGAGGAGGGGTTGGGGGGATTCTAGGGGGAGTTTTGGGGGTCCCAAGTGGGATTTAGGGGCTCCCAGATGAGGTTCCCCAGGGATTTGTGGCTCCCCAGTTGAGAATTCCCAAAGATTTGGGGTTTCCCAGCTGCCCAGGTGAGGATTTGGAGGATCCCAGGGATCCAGGTGAGGGTCTCAAGGGACTCCCAGGTGAGATTTGGGGGGTCCCAGGTGAGAATTCCCAAGGATTTGGGGTTTCCCAGGTGTCCCAGGTGAGGCTCCAGGGAGGTTTGGGGGTTCCCAGGTACACAGGTGAGATTCTGGGGGGTTCCACTTGAATCCTTCCGGGAATTTGGGAGGTCCCATCCCCCTTTTCCCCATCCCCGGCCCCTCGGAACTCCCCAGACTCCGGAACTTTCCACTTCCCTTTTCCCTCCCAGCCGCACCCACGGCCCTGGGGATCCCCAAACTTCCCCAAATCCCCCCAAATCCCTTCCAAATCCCCCCAAATCCTTCCCAAATCCCCCCAAATCACCTCAGGTACCTGCTGGGGGCGACCCTGGGGTTTTGGGGTTCCCACCTTGAGCTCCATCCCCGTCCCCATCCAGAGGCTGCGGCCGAAGTTCTGAGGGCAGAGGGCGTCGAGGCTCGGAGGAGGGAGGGCCCCACGCCCTGATCCTCCCCCGAAGGGCAGAACTGGCCCTGTCAGGACCTCAGGGAACCTTTCGGGGCTGGCTTTAACCCCTCGGGGTCTGGATCCATCCATCAGGACTCCATTTCCCTGCCAGGACGCCAGTGACCCCTCAGGGCCCCAATTTCCCTGAACAGGACCCTGATTTACCCCCATTCATCCATTCAGGACCCCAATTACCCCTCAGGGCATTCATTTATCTCTTCAGGAACCATTTTCCCCTCAGGACCCCATTTATCCTTCCAGGACCCCATGGACCCCCTCAGGGCCCATTTACCCCACACAGGGCTCAGATTTCCCCTGCCAGAACCCGGATTTAGAATTGGCTTTGGGGATTGTTTATGAAGATCCAGCAGGATTTGGGGTCTGGGATATGGGATTGTTTGAGGACCCAGGACTGGAGATCTTTTAGGATCAGATTTGGGGTATCTGGCAGCATTTGGGATCTGGGATTTTTGGGATCCAGGGTTTGGGATTTGAGAGCATTTAGAATTGGTTTTGAGTGTCCAGTAGGATTTGAGATCTGGGCTTTGGGATTGTTTGGGATCCAGGGTTTGAGATTATTTGGGACTATTCCTTGGGGTCCAGCAGGATTTAGGATCTGGAATTTAACACTTCTTGGGATCCTGGATTTGGTGTAATTTTGGAATTGCTTGGGATCTAGAATTTGAGATAATTTGGGCTCATTCCTTGGGATCCAGCAGGATTTGGCATCTGGGGTTTGGGATTGTTTGGATTGGTTTTGTGTATCCAGCGGCATTTAGGATCTTGGATTTTTTTGGGATCCAGGATTTGGGATTTGAGAGCATTTGGGATTATTCCTTGGGATCCAGCAGGATTTGGGATCATTTGGGAACCCTGGGACCCCCAACCCCCACCTCCGATGTCCCCAAGGGGTCCCTTTTACTGCCCTTCCCACCCTCCCATTGATGGCCCTGCTTCTCTCCACGCCCCATTCAGGCCCGCACAGGCCCCGCCCAGTTTCGTTTCCTTCCAGGCCCTGCCTCTCTCCACGCCCCATTCATTGCCCGCCCCTTCCCGCACCTCAGGCCGCGCCCCCTCCGCTCCCCATTGGCTGTTGCTCCCCCTTCCCTCCTCACCCCCCAATCCCCGCCTCCCCTGCTCCGCCGCTTCCCATTGGCCTAAAAATGCGGACCCGCCCCCTATGGGCGTGGCTACAAGACCGATCGGCGTTGATTGACAGGTTCCGCTCAGCGGCGGCCCCGGGGGGTACAGCCAACGCGGCTCGGGGGGACCGGGGAGGGGCTGGGGGCGTTTTGGGGGGTTCAGTCAATGTGGGGGAGCCCGGGGGTTGCCAGGGGGGTCCTGATGAGTGTGGGGGAACCCATGGATTGGGGAGTCGGGGGTAGGGGGGGTCCCCTGAGTGACGGAAGGGCGGTGAGTGGGGGTCCTAGCACCCTGGGGGGGGGGGGTCATGGACCGGGGGGGTCCCAGCGCTTTGGGGGGGTCGGTAAAGGGGAGGGAGGCAGTGAATGGGGGGATTCCGCTGCGTGGGGGTGCTCTGGTAAATTGGCGGGAGGGGCCCTGGTGATAACGGGGGATCGTGGCTGATAACAGAGTGGGAGACAGGACCGAGCCCCAAGGGACCATCACACTGCCATTAAATTGAGTGCACGGTGCACACATGAGCAAATAGATTATTTTGTACCAACGAGCAGCCACAAGGAATTACCAATAATCAATAATCAAGTACCAGAGCAAAATACTTGTGAAAGTATTTTTTTTGCAAAAGCCAATGCAGACTTACAGCAGCCAATGCAGAATTGCAGCAGCCAATTATTAAATTGTCATTTATGACCCGGCTGTGCTGAAGGCACAGTGGAAAGCTGGAAGCTGCTGAGGGGTCTCATTCTCCCCTGTCCCTGAGTGTCCCAGAGTGTCCCCAGTGACATCACCCCAGGAATTCCCACCAGGATTTGAGACAGTATCAATGAAAATTTCCAGAAAATTCCCCAGATTTGTCTCAAATCCCATGTGGGGAGGGGAGAGGGGACAGGTGACAGCAGTGATGTCCTCAATGATGTCACCGCCCCTATGAGGTCACAGCTGTGACGTCACGGTCCCTGAAGCAGATTTGGGATATCCTCGATGGCTTTTTGGCACCTCTCGGCCACCGCGTGGCTGCCGGGGCCATTGGGGCCACCATGGCCATCACAGGGACTCAAGAGGAGGTCGTGGATGTCCCCAAGTGTCCCCAGCGGGTGACATGTGAACAGGCGGGCGCTGGCATCCCAGAGCCACTCGGCCTTGGCCACCAAAGCCACAGGGACATTGGGGGGTGCCTCATTTGTCCAGTCTAGGGCATCCATGATCTCCTCGAACTGCCACTCCATGTAACTGCTAAACATGGAGGCACTGTCACACGCAACCGCCAAGCGCTCCAGCGGCCCCAGGGCCACCTCTGCCCAATGTCCCCTCCTGGTGGCTGCCCTTGCCCGGCTGGCTCCCACGGCCTCGTTGGTGGCCAGAGCCACCTGGGCATCATGCTCAGACCCTGCCAAGGCCTCTTCCTGCCTGTCCAGGGCCACCATGAGCTGCTGGGCAGTGGCCGCCAGGTTGTCCCCAGCTGTCCCCCTGTGGGTGGCCTCGTCTTGTGGGTCCTTGGCCTGGGCGTTGGCCGCATCCTCACAGGCATCACAGAGGTGGATGGCCTCCCAGTACAGGTGGCCCCAGCTGTTTCCGAGTATGCGCTCCAGCTTCCACCAGGCTCTGTCCATGGCTCTCGCATCAGCCCAGATGGCCCCCGGGGTGGCCCCAAGGGCAGTCAGGGCCTGGCCCAGGGAGGGGACACCAGGGTGGCCCAGGGAGGTGACATCACTGTGGTCCAGGGTCTCACGGAGGCTCCAGGTGAAGTGCCTCAGGGCTGTGTGCAGGAACTCTGGGGACACGCGCTGCCGCACGTCCCTGTGTGACCCGGTCACGGCGGCCACCACCTTGCCCAGGGTGGCCACCACAGCCACCAGCGCCTCCAGCACCTGGAAAGAGGACAGGGGAGGTGTCAGGGACCTGGTGGCATTTGTGGCCTCCTGCAGTGGCCCCTGTGCCCTCCTGGGGTCCCCTTTGCTGCCCCTCTGTCCCTTTGTCACCTCCCTGTCCCCTCTGCCACCTCTGCTGTCCCCTCTGCCACCCCGCCCCTCCCCCCCTCCCCCCCACCGCACCGGGACTGTCGCACCTCTTGGGGCTCCATGGCCACTGGGGACACTCCAGGGACACTCCAGGGACACTCTGAGGACACTGGTGGGGGGCGAACACACCCAGGTGACAGCTGGGGCACGCGGGAAGGCAGCGCAGCTGGAGAGGGGAAGCAGGAAGAGCTAAAGTCACCGCCCGCAGCCGGGGCAGGGTCCCCAATGTCCCCCCCAATTTCCTCGATGGGACCTCAATGTCCCCGCAGGGTCCCCAAAAAGGCCTAAGTGTCCCCTGATGTCCGGTTGGGGACACTTGGGACACACCAGGGTCCTGTTGGGGACACTGTGGGGACATCTGGGACATCGTGGTGACCCAAAAGGGGAGAGGGGGGATCATTGCGGCCCCGACGTCGCCAAGAGAAGGGCACGGGGGTGTCCCCAAGGTCCCCAATAGGACCCCAGTGTATCCCCAGTGTCCCCAGATGGACATTGTGGGACACTTGGGCCTTGTGGGGGACCTCAGGGCAACACCAGGGCCATGTGAGGACACTCAGGGGACATTGGGGTCCCATTGGGAACACTGTGGGGACATTGAGAACCCTGCCCTGGCCCCACAGGTGGGGGAAGGGCAGGGGGGACAGTGACATCATCGTCACCTCTTCCCATTTCCTCCATCCGGCCGTGCCACGTTCCTGTGTGTCCCCAACTGTCACCTGGGTGTGTTTGCCCCCCAGAGTGTCCCCAGAGTGTCCCTGGAGTGTCTCCAGCGGCCATGGAGACCCAAGAGGTGTGACAATCCTGGTGGGGGAGGCAGGGGAGGGGACAGGGGGCACACAGGGGTGACAGAAGGGACAGGAGAGTGTGGCAGGAAGAGGGGAGGTGACAGAGGGGTGGAGGGGACTGAGGGTGACAGAGGGCTGGCAGAGGTGACAGTGGGGGGTGGCAGGGGGTGGCAGAGGGGGCAAGGGGGCGACAAAGGGACAGAGGGAACAGCAGAGCCCTCCAGGGAGGGGACAGAGGGGACCCCAGGAGGGCACAGGGGCCACCCCGGGAGGGCACAAGTCCCTGACACCTCCCCTCCTGTCCCCTTCCCAGCTGCTGGAGCTGCTGGTGGCCACAGTGGCCACCCTGGGCGAGGTGGCGGCCACCGTGACCGGGTCACACAGGGACGTGCGGCAGTGCATGTCCCCAAAGTTCCTGCCCGCGGCCCTGAGGAGATTCACCCAGAGCCTCCGTGAGACCCTGGACCACGGCGATGTCGCCTCCATGGGCCACCGTGGTGTCCCCTCCCTGGGCCAGGCCTTGGCCGCCCTCTGGGCCACCCCTGGGACCAACTGGGCCGATGTGAGAGCCGCGGCCACGGCCTGGCAGGAGTTGGTGGCCGCGCTCAGGGAGAGATGGGACCGGCTGCAGGAGGAGACCACTGAGCTCTATGGAGCCTGCACACACACGGGCTTCACCATGGCCATCACCCGGGCCACCGACCTGCAGAACGAGGCAACCCGCCAGGATTGGGATATGGATTTGGAAGACCTGGTGGCCATAGTCTGGTTTCTGCCGGTGGCCCTGGACATGGATGAGGGGGCCTGGGCAGGGGCTGTGCACGAGGCCCAGGGGGCTGCAGCCGCCAATGAGGCCATGGGAGAGGCCGTGGTGCCCGCCAGCTTGATAAGGGCGGCCACCAGGAGGGGAAATTGGGCAGAGGAGGGCCTGGGGCTGCTGGAGCGCTTGATAGAAGAGTGTGGCAGTGTCAGTTCGTTCTTCCAGGAGCTGCAGCGGCAGTTCAGGGCCATCAAGCCTTATCTGGAGGGGACAGAGCAGGCGTCCCCCAATGTCCCCATGGCCTTGGTGGCCAAAGTGGCCGAGTTTGAGCACCTGTGGGATGCCAGTGCCTGCCTGGCCAAGGATCACCTGCTGGGGATACTT